AACACCTCCCTACAGTCTGCAGCCTCGGGTCAAGGTGTCAGATTGAGGGTCTTCTGAGGGGTCTCCACTGGGTCACGGATGGCTACCTTCTTATAGTGTCTTTACATGGCTGCCCCTAGGTCTGTGCCATGAGTGAATCTCTTCTAATCAGGACATCAGTCATACTGTATTAGGGTCATCTTATGTGACCTTGTCTTACTTTAATTGCCCATTTAAAGGTCACATCTCCAAATCCAGTCCTATTTTGATGCTCATGTAAGGTGCAAATGAATTGGGAGAATCCAATCAGTCTAGAACCACCACCATGCCTTGTTAGAGGTGTTCCAGGGTATCTGCTCAATAAACAGGGCAGAGGCAATGACAACAGGATTTCCATCACATTACTGAGTGCTCTGAATCCCCAATTTTCTTGAGAGGCCACACACAGGTGGTTACAGCGTCCTCCTTAGAATAAGATACTCCTTGTTACTTGAATCACAGTAGCAGAGACCAAGCAAATGTAGATGAATGTCTTTGGAAGAGGTAAGCCCAGCATCAGGTACAGGGTTATGGAACTGTAATGGTTAGGTTTGTTAATCTGACCTAGAATCCCCTGAGAAGTTAATGAGAGATTGTCTACACTGGATTGGCCAGCAGTCCTGCCTGTGGGATTATCTTAATTAATAACTGGTGTGGGGAGACCAGGCCAGTGTGGGCAGCACTATTCCCTAGGCAACAGCTCCTAAACTGCTTAACAGTAGAGAAATGGAGCTGAGCACAAGCAACCAGGCCAAGTGTGCACTGGTTTCTCTCTGCTCTTGATCGTGACTGTGATGTAACTCGCTGTTGGAAGTGTCCCGCCTTGACCTCCCCACAATGATCGGCTGTAGCTGGGATTGTAAGGGCAACAAACCTCTTTATTCCGTAAGTTGCTTAGGGCAGTTGCTGGGGTATCTTTAGCACAACAGCGGACATGACTCTGGGACAGGAGCATGAGAGTAACACCCGGGTCCCATCTGTGCACCAGTGAGCACGGGGTGACCAGTGCAGGACGCACAGAGCACAGCTCAGTGAAGAGTTCTGAGTGCTGGAGAAGGCAACCTGTGCACAGTTCAGAATGAGACGGAATGGGAGAAGGCTGCTTCCAAGCCGGTGAGGAGTGGGTGGCCGGGGCAGAAAAGTGCCTCAGTGGTGAAGAGCACTTGTAGAGCGCCAGAGTTCTGTCTCCAGTACCCACATGGGGTGGCTCACCATATCTAACTCCAGCTCCATGTGTGTGTGTGTGGGGGGGGGGGCAGCACCTACAGCCTCCTCTGGCACCACAAGGGCCTCAGCGCAGATCCCCATGTAAAAAAAAGCTGGACACCATGGTGCCTGAACCTGTCCCCTGTAATCCCGGTGCTGGGGAAGTGGAGACAGGTGGATGGATGCCCAGAGCTCACTACTGGTCAGCTGGCCTAGCTGAATTGGTGAACTACAGGTTCCGGGAGAGACTGTCTCAAAAGTAAGGTAGAGAGCCAATGAGGAGACTCCTGGCCTTCACATGCACCTACACAGATGTGCACAACTCCACATAAACACACAAACACACCCCTCCAACCCAAAAATTGTTGAAATTAAAAGGGTCCAGTTAGATGCATGTATACACCAAAAACTACAAGAAACCTTGAGAGGGTACTGGCTCCATGCTGAGATTTTGGGAGGCAGCTGGTGTTTCCTGAAAGAAAATATGGAAACGGTCTCATTGGTTTGTGGACTTGTGGACGCCTGACAAATCTATTGCAGTGTGTGACTTTGTTTCTAAACTAACGTTAGGCTTCCCTGGAAAGATGCAATTTCTCAATTTAACAAAGCTCAGAGAGTCAGTATGTTATACCGAGACCTGTCTCAGTAACAACGGGCAGACTTCATGAAATAGCTGTGATGCTTTAAATGCATGTATCTCAGTATGCATACTGTTTGGAAAAGCAAAAGATGGCTTGGGGAAATCTTGGTTAAATATGACAAAGAACGGCTGCCCTTAAAAATGTTGCTAAGATCTTTTAAAAGCAAGAGGATTCCACTCACAGTATCTTTCCCCAATGGTTTTTCACACCTACTAAAACTATACTATTCCACCAATCTTAGATTCTATGTGTATATACTACACATTTAGTAACCCGGGATCTTATACACACATAAACCCACTGTGTCTAGCACAGAACTTTCAATTTTTTTTTTAACTCTTCAAGAAGTAACTGATCCTTGGGGCTGGGGATGGAAGTCCCTGGTGGAGCCCTTGCTTAGCATAAGAAAGGCTCTAGTGTTCTCTGGACTCTAACACTGCCAAAATAATAATAATAAAATAAAGTTAGCAATGCGTGTTGAGCGGATACAGGTTTTCATCCTTTCCCTTGGCTCAGTAAACTAGCAATTAGTTCGTCTACGGACTCTCCTACAGTGCCTTAAGCCAGCGTCTCAGGACACTCAGCAGGAGAGACCAGGGGCTGTAAATCCCGGAGTAGTGTTTACGGTCCCAAGAACTACTTCCGAACCGGTAGCAAACTGGAATCTCTGTAAGGTAGGTTCAGTGGTAAGGAAGAGGAAGACTTAAAAGATGGGACTTCGGTCGTCCCAGCAGGGACGTTTCTGACTTCTTTCCTCTCTGGAGGCCCAGTACTCACACCTCCGGGGACCCCTGTAGGAGGAAAACGTCGGGCCCGGCCACATCCCTCCCCCTCTCCAGCCCTAGACTGCCAGCATCCTAGCCTTCCTGCACCAGGCGCCCTGCCCAGGCCCCGCCCACTCCCCCGCCGCGGCCCCGCCCCCTCCAGTCCTAGACGGCCAGCAGCCAAGGCTTCAGTCACCAGGCGCCCCGCCCACTGCCTCGCTGAGGCCCCGCCCCCTCTCCAGTCCCAGACTGCCAGCAGCTAAGGCGGCAGGCAACCAGGCGCCCCGCCCAGGCCACGCCCACTCCCCCGCTGCGGCCCCGCCCCCAGCACGCGCGGCCCGCAGGCGCCCCGCCCCCGCTCCCCCACGTGACAGCCCCACCCGCCGCGCGCGCTGCGATTGGCTCTTGGGCCCGAGGAGGCGGGGCCAGTCGAAGTCCTGCGCCCCGGACGCGGCTGCACTTTTCAAACCTCAACTGTGAGAAGCGCCCGCCGGTCGTTCGGTCGGCGTCTGTGCGGTCGCCGCCGGGAGTCGCCTCACCCCAGGGGCCTGGCTGACGGCGACCAGCCGCTGTGGGGGAAGCGTGGAGCGAGCGAGCGAGCGAGCGAGGTGAGCCAGAGTAGCCGCGGCCCCGTCCGAGGGCAGAGCCTGCGGCGGCGCGGAGCCGCGG